CCAAAAACTCTCATCAAGAAACAAAGATTATGTAAACTGAATACGATCGGGGGGCTCCAGAAAGGATGCAACCCAGACAATATTAAATATAGTATTTTGGCACTTGTGTATAAAGTTAAAATCATAAATAATATTCAACGTTAAACTGGTACACAATTAAAAACATTTTATTTAGGCCTATCTATGGCCTTCAACGTTTTGAAGCCAGACAATATTGTTCACATTTATAGATCCCATATCAGACCTATAGCTGAATATGGCAGCATGGTATATTGTAACATGTCTAATTTGCTATTTAACAAATTAAAAATGCAACAGAATAGTGCTTTAAGAATAGCCCACAGACTACTTATATATATACTCCTGTTATCTATCTTAACACAGTTACCAAGATATCACACATTAGACAGAATATTAAAATTAGCTAAAAATGTTTACAATAAAACAGTAAACTGTTATTTACACAATTCTTCGGTGAACCTTTATAATACATCACACCAAATACCAATGCACTGGCACGATGGCCCTTACTCTGTTTATACTTCTTGTTTTTTTTTGTTGTTTTATTATTTCAAGTTATTCTCTGACATTTAAAGCTGTAATATCGATAGGTTGAGCTAAAATTGTAGTTTTTTTCTATAAAATTATGTTTTGTCTTGTTTTTGTGTACTGCTAAAGCCAAATTTTCTATTCTATTTCTTACATAACCTTTATGTTCCTGTAACCTGTATTTTAAATTCCTTTTAGTTTGACTAATGTAAATACTCCCACATTCACTTTCTACTTTGTAAGTCCCACTTTTGTATTTTAATTATTTTTTATCTTAAGTATACCCTAATATTTCTTTAATCTGATTTTTAAAACAAGTATACAATGGTTACCCCATGTTGGGATCATGGGGAATTTCATTCTTCCTGCCCATCCTAGTGCTGAAGTCTACATGCCCAAAATGTGTATGAAAATGTTTATAAGTTCATAGGTAAACGTTTTCCATTGCCATGTTAAAATCCATTACTAAACAAAGAATTAGTTTTAATGGTAAAATTTAGTCTTTTTGTTAGTGAACTAATTTTCATTTGCTAGACAAGTGCTGAAAATTGAAATTTTCTTTCTTTTCGGGTATACTTAGCACTTAAAAATATCAGTTTTCACTATCAATTTATGAAAATGCATGACTGACACACAGTAATAAAAACAATAACATAAAATTAAACATTTCAATTTTATTGCTCAATATTCTGTACAGTATCTACATCTAACAAGTTCCAAAAAACATGAGATTTTCAAAAAACAGGTATAGTATATAAACTTTTCTTTTAGCAGACTTCCATAAAACAATTAACTTTGAGATTTTCAAACAAGTAGATTAAGTAAACTCTCCTTTAAGTAATTTCCAGAATACTATCATTTAGCATATAAATTCTGAAAAAACCTAACATTTCTGTTCAATTACAAAAAGCAGTCATGTAATGGCATAAAAATTTCAGTAATAGGTATATCTAGAATTGTCATTAAAGCAGAATGTGTCAGTATATTTATGAAATACATAAAAAGTAAATATAAAACCTGAAAAAACTGTGATATTCTTTGGATCATAAAAAAAACTTCTATTCCACAGTGCATTGATCATGAATATTTCCTGCATATTTTACACAAGGAGTTTTCTAAATTTCCAAAACATTGTAAGCTATGTATTTTCTATAATTTAGTCTTTTTTTTTTTTGCTAGACACTGCCACATAAGTGTGTGGCTTAATGATTAGACTTTTCTTGAAAGTTTCAGAAGTGATTTGAATGACATAAAATGTAGTTTTGTTGAGATCAGATGATTGTTGATTGATTTTATGAGTTTGTTAGTCAGTTGTCTATTACATCAGTTTTGTGGATATTGAGTTTGTATGTGCTGTATGTACAAGAAAATTTGCAAGGATGTGATACTGTTGTGTTAGCATCTGTATTACTGTAAACTTAGGCCTATCAATGAAAATTAGTAAAGCTAACTTATGAAAGAAATACAATACTATCATTACCGTCAAGTGAAATGGACTTTGCAACCTACTCAACAATAAAAACCATTACAACAATATATTATAATTATTTTCCAATAATATTTTAGAGTTCAGGTTAACTTACTCTACAGGAAACTTTAATCATAAAACTTAATAGTGTGTTTTAATAGCATGTAAATCAATCACACTGCATATCTAAACTTTACAGATTTGTAGGTGCTTTTGTAGTATATATATATATTTTCCAATTTAGGTTTTACTTGTTTACCTCATAAGAGATGATAGAAGGGCACACTGATGAATATGTCTGACCGAGCATACTAGTGCAATAACTAAATACAAGGTACTTGGTTACATGATCTTTTGATGCAGAGAAGAAAAAAAAAAAGGTCTTTCATTTAGCAATAGACCAAAACCTTAAGTTAGGAGTCAAGGAAAGGTGCAGAGGAACAAAACCCTGACAGACATTGGCATATTTATAGATGGATTATCTGAAATAAAAGGAATGTTAGCTTTTCAGGCTCATATCTTTGTTGTATATAGATATCTATGTGTTTTATTTTATAATCAGTCTGTTAACCATATTTTCAAGCAAATCAAGTTTTATAAAAAAATGAATAAAATATGGTTTCTAGTATGATTTGCTGCAAGCTTAACAGATTAAAATTACTTCAAAAAATAAGCCCTCTGATCCAATCAAAACTTTTTGGCTTCTAGTCTATTGGAAAAAATTGTATGCAATGAGCTCATCCACAAAAGTCAATAAAATTTCGTACATGTAATTTTTTTTATAAGCTTAAAATATGATGCACAGGAAAAAACTTCTTTAGTGTAAACTAATGAAAAAATAACATGTATGATTCAACATCTTATCTACTTACGTTTCATCTAAAGATTATCAATGTCCAAAATGCTAAGTGTAATTTTAATTTTACTTTATAGTCACATTTTCTTTATGAATCTTGAATAAACTATTCGGCATTCTGAGTTGGAAAATCATGTTAAAGCACATTTAGAAAATCATATTCATCTTTTTCACAAATAAGAAATGCATGTACACAAAATTAAGATATAAAAATAATTAATAATTTATTCAAATTTTGTATATAAAATCCAAACAATTTCCTATAAAACAATGATATTAATTGACCATTCTAATGCTTTGTAAGAGCAATTCTTTTTAGTTAGTACTTCTTCTGTAATAAATAGAAGTCGGTTGTATCATGTTTTTTCTCCAAGCGATATCAATCTTAAATTTTCAATATAAAGGGGATTTTTACCTATGAAACTCCAAAACAAGACCATACTTACTTCTAATAAAATATAACTGAGTGTGTGGATTTAATATTTAAGAAAATATTTTTCTGAAACAAACATTTCATTAATTATGTACACAGATATACTGAAATAATTTTATGAATTATCAAATCTAACAAGACTGAGAAAGTTTTTCCAGTCATTAAAATTGGCTGAAGTATACAATAAACTTAAAGGTGACTAATCATAACCCAAGTATTGCTAAGAATATTACAAATATATTAATTTCAGCATTTAACTTCAAAAACATCTCATACTTGATCAAACTTAACCATCTTAAACTCCCATATAGGATAAAATGGTGATAAAGTTCATTGATTGAAGATTAATTATAGTCAAACTTAAAAAAGAAAAAAAAGTACTTTAAGCACAGGGATTAATGTATGAAATAAGGCAATATTTTTGAATCATCTTTAGAGATACAAGTTTGTTATATCAGGTCTTAATTTCAACAGGAATGCAGGTCCAAACAGTCATTCCAGTTTTAAAACTTCAGATATTAAACATTATTTTACACAATCAAATATCATAACTGAACTTAGAAGTAACAATGTCCTACCTTCTTAATCACTTTTTCAGGTTCTTATTTATCTTGTGTAATTTTGAGCTAAATATAATTGTATAAAAACCGTGTAAAATTTGTTTTTTGACACCAGTATGTCAGAAACAGTACTGATGTTTACAAATACATCCATTGACTTATGATACTTTGTAACGGCCCGAAGGTTAATAACCTAGTAGTGTGGAAATATTAACACTGATACTTCATTTATCATAATACTTTTCATGAATAATTGTATCAAATAATCTGGATGTATAGAACCAAATGACATGGCAATTTACTGACACAAAAGCCAATTAAGTTTTTACCACAGCATTACCCACCAACTCAATTCATATCATAAAATAACAAAAATCATATCTACATATACAGTCAAATTAAATTAGAGCTGTAACTTCGAAACCAGTGGGTGCAGGAAAGGAACAGGTTGCTGATTGACAATCTAGAATTCTATTCAAATGCCAGAATATATATATCTGTCCACCGTACATTTAAAGATACATAATAAATGATTAATAATTTGCCTCTTTAAAATGTGAAGTAACTTACCATGCTTGGAGCTTAATATATGACTTGTGGGCTACAAGTTGACAGTCCTGGTCGAAATCATATTATAGCTTACATTTCAAAGCTATTTCTAGGTTTATTTTTGGAGAATAAATCTTAGTACTACAGTTACATCAAATTTCACCTGGCTAAGCCCAGTTGGAAATTAAGATATAATAACTACACTTGATGATGTTTAATTATTCATAGCTATCACATAACTCCATCAGTGAACCTGAAACTCCAAAATACACACAGTAACAACAGAATACATGTATCAAGAAATAATGAGTTAGAAAAAAACCCACTATTTTTGGAAATCATAACTTTCTACAAGTTAAATTAATGAACTTGTACTATGATAGTGGTTGAGCTCAAGCTGACAAGAAATTTAGAACACTCCAGTATACTAATAGAAAGAAGTATTACATGGAATTATTGCATTTTTAGATACTATTAGAAAGCACTACAAGTGATCATAATAAACAACTGAATACAACAGCATCATATGAGGTTGAAGATCCATCAGAAATACTCGGTTCACACAAAATGTTTGATCTTGGATGCAAATAGTCCATCAGAGAGAAAAAAAAAATCACAGTTATCAATTTAGCTCTCTTCAACCAGCTATTCCTCCTGAAATTAGAATTAAAAATTTATTAATGAATAAACTTCTCAATACAAATTAAAGAAATATGTAGTGCAACTTAATTTTTTTTCTCAATATTTTAGTACAGAAAAGTAAAATCCTACAAAGGGAATCATGAAATAAAAAAACAATGGAAGTTTGAAAGACAAACTAACAATGTTTTTCACTGGACATTCTTTGGAGTATTTATATTTTAAAGTATATGTACAATCTTATAACACACACTATTTCTCACATGTTATAACCTTTATGGTGCCACTGGGATCCTACCTGGTGATTAAATTTAATTTTATTGTATGATCAACTTTGTGAAAAAATTTTTTTTTAAGCAATTAAAATTATGATGTTTCAATCTGTAGAAGTGGGCCATATTAAAGCGTATATAATTAACAATAATTACAAATGTTATCTTGTGTTCAAAGCACTAGGTTACACAATACGCTATTTACCCTGTGCCCATCATATGTATAAAACCCCAATGTTCAGAGTTACAAGTCTTTATGGTTATTGCCAAGCCACTGAAAACATTGATAATAGTAGAGATAATGTATTTCATGCAAATACAAAACAATTAAAAAACTGTTAAAAATCAGTCTGGATGAAATACTGAATCATGTAATACAATACAATTTTGGATGTTATATTTTAAAGGGAAAAACAGAAATGAGAAAAACTGCAACATTTGAGGGAAATGCAGAGAAAAATGCACTTCTTAAATGATTGAAAATAGATGATACACATGTATAATATTTTTTTAAAAGTATATATAATACACTTCATGGAATTAGCTGACAAACTTTGATCATCACTACTGATAGAGAAAACATCAACCCTTTCCTTTACTAGAAAATAAAAAGGAAGAAAATTCATAATTTCTCACCAGCTCGGACTCGAGACAGAGAGCTTAGAATATGAACCATGAGATGTGCTGGCACTCTCAAAACTTCTTTACTTTCACATAATAACCTAGCATTGTGCTGAACCAACTGTAATGGAAATAAAATAGCTTTTATGAGTGTCATATCAGACTTTATGATACAAAACAGAGCATTAGGTAAAAAAAATTAAAAAAGAAAATATACAAGAACGTGCTATGAATTCAAAAATTCATTAAGTATGATAAAATGCATAAACAACTTATTTGGAGAATGAAGTATCTTATAGAATAAATATTATATTCTGAACTGATAATAATGAAATGTTTCAACAGGTAACCTTTGACATTCAAACATTTGTGTTAAAAGAGATCAGAGAATTTTAATTGTATGTCAACATGGCTTGCTTAACTTTAGCAAAACTTCTTAATCAAATACTTAAAGTATAAGAATTCCCTACTCTTTTTATGTGAAAGAAAGAATCATGACAGTTCTACATTTTATATGCTAATTTATATGTAACATTCTATTGTTTTCTTTACTGTCATCTTTGTATAAAATGCATTTTTTTAAACTGTAGACAAATATAACACATCTTTTATGAATAATAATGAATAAATTTGATGAAAATAATATGTTTGACAAGGTGTGTATTTCAACCATTACAAAGATGCAATTTACTTACTGTAAAGCTCAGTTCATTGATATATTGTATTTTTGAAAGTTTTGTTTTTATTTTTGTAGTTAAATTTGCTCTTTAACATAAAAAAATAATATTAACACACTACTGATAAAGAAAATTAAGAGGTGAACCGTTTAATATGAAAAAAAAAAGAAAAGTAAAAAAGATGCCTAAATTTTACTTTATGGATCACACTGAAGTTTAATGCATTGCATTTTATTCCTTAAAAATTTGGCAACAAGTTACAAGTACTTGCAACTACATTATTAAATCAGACACTGGCATATAATATTATACTACCAGTGTTTTATGACAATATACAGAACCTTCTTGTTTACAGCAACAGCATATATTCACATATCTGATGTCAGATCTTGGCTAATTCTAAATTCCTATAGTATTTTAGCAACAAACAAGATTTTCCAACCTGCAAATAAATATTCCTTTTCCTTTGTTAATTTGCTGATTTGTAAAGGGAACTAAATATAAATACTGTCATGCATGTAGATTTAGTACAGAAGTTATAGTTTTCTTTTATAAACAATCTTCTATGCTAGTTAAGAATTTGTTGCCAAAAATCTAGAAATGTGTGTCTTTTGATACACTTAAAAAAATATGAGTTAATGGCCATCAACAAAAGATTTGGGTAACCTAATTTAGAGGGTTGAGCTTCAGGAAGTGAATATCTGACATTAATATTTAAAAGAGAACAGAATATGGCTGTTCAGTTAGTAAGGTATTTGTAACATTTGAACTAAGTATGTTATTTAAAACATAAAAACGTCACTATACAATATTTTAATTAATTCAGTCAGTGAATGTATTGTACAAATTAGTATTGTTTATTTCAGTAAATATACAATTTGTCAATTTCTAAAGTAGAAAAAAAGTGAGTGGTCACTGATAATGCTTGTGCCCCACTATGATGTGTATTTACTCAAACAATTATTAAGTCTGTGCAAAGTGTAAACAGCTTTTATTAAGCAGCTGTACTGGTAAGATTTAATAATGCTCATTGCACAGATTATCAAATGTTTACCAAGTTTAAACATTATTTTCTGAAAGAAAACATCTTTAAACAAACTAAGTGTTTGCAATGTTATTGTAAAACATTTTGTTAGCACATGCCAAAGTTTCATTACATGCAGGTTTATCTGAGCAGTTTACTGATGCATGTTAAGTTTTAACATTAATAGTTTGTGAAAGTTGCACTGAGCCAATTACTGAATATATAACAAGTTTTTACAGAAATCATTGAACAGATTACAAAATGTACTGAACTGTACTTACCAAACATATTAATGAACCTAAGCTAAATTTGAAATGTAGGTTAATGAATGAATTTCAGTTTTAATAAGTGCTTTAACTCTTTCAATACAGGGTCAGTTAATGTGACAAGCTCTTAATCATTTTGTGCTTGTTATAGTTTTCATGCTATAACTTTTAAATTAGTCAGCATATGTTAACAAAATTTGGCAGATTATCAGTGAACATTACAATGCTTTCATATGCAAAATATACAATTTTTTATTAAGTCGTAAAGTCCGTAAAGCAACGTCTCTCTCATGCCTTTTTTTTTCTTTTCACATCTTGCCTATCTATCACGCAAAGTAATTTTCATTTTAAGATTAAAAATACTTTTATATATATCAGAAAATTTAAATTTCATTTTATAATATCCAGATAATTATCAAATATTTCTTAAGGAAAAATTTATATTTTATCTGTTATTTTCAGTAATTAATCTCTGTATGGGTTCAGTAGATTTGAACAATCTTGCAACCACCATTCATTCTAGAATGAACACAAATTATAATACAAAAACATAAATGTTTAGATGAAATAGCTTAAATCTCGTAACATTATACATTTATATATATTTATTATTTTTATTATATTGTTCTTTCACCAGTGCCTGGCTAACAATAC